TCTTCTTTATGAAGCATAACACGCCCCAACAAATTTACTATAAATCAATGATGCCATTAAATCTCAAAAGTTTATCAGGAGCAACCTTAGTTTTATTAATAAAATAAGGACCAAATATTTTTCTAAACAATTAAATAAGTTTCCCATAAAACTAATATTAAGTAAAATGACAATTTTAATGGGAAAATATATGTAGATTTGGGGCCAAAAAGTCTGAATACTTAACGGAATTATTAAACTTAATTATATTAAATAAAATAAAACAATAAAATAAATTATAATTAAAAGATACGTGTATTTGGAGTAAAAAAAATCCAGATACTTAATTTTATATATTAAACTTGATTATATTAAACAAAATGAAATAGTAAAAAAGAATTCAATAAATAAATGACAATTATAACTATCAACTGAGAGGGAAAAGTTTAATAGGATTTACAATAAGCAACCTTACTTTTATTAATAAGATATGATGGTGTTTGGCTAAGCTTATATTAAACAATTGATAAGCTCTTACGTCTGATAAGATGTTTTAAGAGCGGATAAGCTCTTACATCTTCTTTTTAGGATTGATTTTTAGAGTGTTTGGATAATGAGTTTATTTCCTATTTTCACTCATTGTAAGATATTAAATAAAAAAAATGGGGTAGAGGTACTTTTTTAAAAACTTATTTGCTCTCCAACAACTTATTTTAAAAAGGGTTAATGAGTCGTAACCCCCTCAATAGCAAAAATATTAGAACTAGGTATGAAGCATTTTTTTATATGATCCAATCCCCTCCACTTTACGTATCCCAATACTATCCCTACATTTTTCTTTTGAACTAGAACCCCCTCCATTTAAATAGGATCGGTCGATCAATTTGCTCTCTCTCTCTCTCTCTCTCTCTCTCTCTCTCCTTTAATTATTTTAATCCTTTTAATTATATTTCGATCTTTTTTTACTTTTACCTTTTTCTCTGGAAAAGATCTATGAAATATTAGTGAAAAACTAAATTAATGAATTTAACTACTGACTTTAGTAGTCAACTATAATATTCTACTAGTTTGCTATAAAATTGTGTCGGTCAACTACAAAATAGTGAAAATTAACTATGAAATTTTAATAGTTAGTTATAAATTGTGATAGTTAACTACTAAATTATAGTAGTCAATAATCATTTATATACCACAATTTTAAGACCAAAACTCACCACCCTCAAATTATTCAACCATCGACAAGTAATTTAAATACTTTCACAATTACCCCCAAAGTCCCAAACGATCTCAACTATAATATTGTACTAGTTTGCTATAAAATTGTGTCAGTCAACTACAAAATAGTGAAAGTTAACTATGAAATTTTAATAGTTAGCTATAAATTGTGATAGTTAACTACTAATTTATAGTAGTTAATGATCATTCATGTACCATAATTTTATGACTAAAATTCACCACCGTTAAATTATTTATCCATCGGTAAGTAACTCCAACACTTTCACAATTACGCCCAAAGTCCCAAATGATCTCAATAGTCTGAAGCATATGGATATCTTCCCTGTAAATTCAATTTCTCTAAAAACTGAATTTCCACAATACAACTATCACTAGCCGTAATTTTTCTTGAAAACATAGATCTGAGCCAATGAAATGAGCATAAGGCTCCGAGACAATAATGCAAGACTCTAGCGGCGGAGATTTTTAGTTAGAAAACCAACGGTGGGGGGTGCGTTAAGAAAGAGCGGCGGCGGATGCTGCTTTGTCAGAAAACAGATCTGAACATTTCATTGTTATTAGACCGGGTGAACCAATGGTAGCCATGAAGATGCGGCGGCTATGGATCCGTCAATTTTGGTAGAGAAGATATACAAGTCGATTTTAGTAGAGAAGAGAGACAGAGCAAATGATTCGAGAGAAATAAAAGAAAAGAGAAATAGAAAGAGACGTATCAGGGAAGAGAGAGGGGGGGGGGGGGGGGAAAAAATTAATGAAAAAAAAAAGGGGAAAAAAAAAATACCTTAAAAATATAAAAATAGGGGGAGGAGAAAAAAAAAAAAGGACCGTTTAAAAAAAAAGGGGGGAAAGGAAAAAAAAAATGGGAAAAAAAAGGACAAAATTGGAATAATAAACACGTGAGGGGTTCTCACAATTCAAAAGGTAATTTTATATTTCTTTACAAATAGTGAATATTAAAATGGGTCTGGATTCTATTATTTTGTGTATTGAGGGGGTTATTCCTTATTTTCCCTTTTAAAAAACATTAAGATCTTTTTTTATAAATTTACCAAATATTTTGGAAGAGCTTATAAGCTCTAAAATATCTTATAAGCTCATTTTAACATCTTATAAGTTTAGCCAAACACCTTGTTAGAGTTCTACTTAAATTGTATCTAGACTTATATTTCTTATTATAAATAGAGTAATTTTGTAACATAATAACAGAAATTAAATTAATCATGATACTTTTCTAAGTATTCTAATATGGTATCAGAGCCATGATGTTTTTTTTGGTTGTTGTGTTTTTCCATCTTTTGTACGGTTCTATCGAAACAAAAAAAGTTCATAAACAACACTCTTTTTGTCTGTCATTACAATCTTGTTTGTAGCGTTTATTCTTATTTATCGCGCTTCCACCACAAAGAAAAACACCAGTAATTATTGCTCTTATTTTTCTTCAATCTTAATTTTGGTGTTTACCCCATTTTCGTTCGGTTCCACTAAGATGGAAAACACCATAAATCACTACTTTTCACAGATGAATGTACTTTTTGTAGTCCAGACTTGATTTTGTTGTTTCTTCTTCTTTATTGCGGTCAGATCGCTATCACAAATCACTATTGCATTTGCGTGCATGTTGTTCCAATCAATATTTTGATCAATGTACCATCAAGATCGTCATTAGCCGATCTATGCAATCGAAACATTCAAGACGATTATCGGAGTTGTCAGAAATTTTGCAAGTCTTCAAGCATCGGGACTCCCAAACACTACATACCTCATCTGAAGAGACGCCATTGTAATTTAGTTAACAACCTTAAGTTGGTCTATCATCCACTTTGAATTTGAGGGAGACTGTTAGTATAATTAGAATTCTCTTATTATAGAGTTATATTTAGAACTAGAGTTACAAGCAGGTGCGATTCAAGCTCATCCTCAATTTATAACATTTTCCTTATATTATACCTATATATCTATTTAGCACACACAGTTTTTATTAATTAGTTCATCCAAAATTTAAATTAATGCAAAAAACACTTTTAGATTTTTTCATTTTTATTTTATTCTTGTCATATTTTCTATTTTTGTCGCAAGAAAGTCCGAAAAAATTTAAGTCAACTCTGTAACAAATTCATGGACTCTCACCACTTATTATATGTCTTATTATAAACAGACTTAACTCTATCAACAAAATAATACACAAACTAATCATAATATTTTCCTGAGTACTCTAACAAAACATTCAAATAAATATTGAAGTAAATGAAGATGCAAAAGATTGTCAAAACATATAATTTAGTATTTAGGAGTATTTAATAAAACGGATATGGGGAATGGGAAAGAAATAAAAGTGAATTTGGGTTGGACGGCACTGCAGGAGCCGAGAAGAGAAGAGGGCGAGACGTGTAGAAGAAAAAGCAGCATAGGATCCACGTCATTGTTTGGACACGCGTCGATGCTCCAGACCAACAAACTAAACAGATACTATTCAATTGACGTTGACGTGTGGTCCCCTACGTGTCTCAATCTCACCTCCCTTCCCTTAACTATTAGATGCCTTCTTTGGATTTCACTACCTTTACTTTTACTCCCCCACTCGCACCCGGCGCACGCTCCTAACAAACATTGCCCTTTATTTCTTTTTTCTTTTTAATTCTTCGGTTGTAAATGAGTATTTTATTTACTTACAATAAAAAAATAAAAATGGATATATTTCAGTTATTAAACAATCTCCATTAGAATAAGAGAAGATATGGTGAACAAAATATTTATTTTTTAACCGAGTTGTAGTATGAGCTTCTTTCATAGTGATTGGTGTTTTATAAAAGATTGATGATTCGAATCCATTTAAATGTATGTACTGGGTGTGTATGTTACATCAGCCATATTTTAAGACCACTTTTTGTTTTTCCTTATATAAAACATGATCATTTTTTTCATTATAAATGTACTATCAACACGATTTTTGTGGGTAGCAAAATATTTGGCAACTAATTTTACCGGTAGAGAAAATAAGTTCGTTGTCAAGACTCAAGATTATAAGCTACTCCTTAATTTAAATTTTAATATAGTATGTTTTTTCTAATTAATACTAACAGACATTTTATTAAATATAGAATGTTATCTTTTAAAACAAAATACTTAAAAAAAAATACTTGTATAGTTAATTTAAATTTATAATTTCATGTTTCAATATTTTAAAATACAAACTGATCTAAATACAGATGGACTGATTGAAGTTTTCGATTTACTTATTAATTATTAAATAAAAAACAATTATAGATAAAATAAATAAAGTTAACAAATAACAATGTAATCAAGTTTTTTATGTTGCACGCGCTGCAAGTGAGCGTGAAAAAGCAAGCCAAACACCGGATGTCGTACACCACGATGCTGCCACGTGGTGATAATCCTCGTTGAGCTTTAAATAATTCCTTAAAAAAAAAGAAAACAAAAATAAAAAGGTAAAATATAACAGCCCATGGGCCTCGTCCGACCCAGGACAACACATGCGTGTCAGTAAAGGACGGGGCCCTACTTTCACCATATCGTGTCTAATCCTCATTGGTCCACGTACATGCCATCTAAATCTATCTCGACACGTGTTCCTCCTTCAATCACCAGATCCGTAGATCCGACGGCCCAGATTACCGGTCTTGCATTCAGCGTTTCTACGTCACACCAACCTGTGTATGTCTGCCCCCTTTCTTGCCCGAGACGGTGACGGGCAGCTGCCCGCCCTAATCGCCTACTACTATAATGCTCGTCTTCCTCTCTCTACTTTTTCTTCTTCTTCTGCGTGTCTCTCTCTCTAGATTTTTTCATCAAACTATATAATCTTCAATTCTTCAATTTCCAGTTCTTCATCAGATTTGAAAAGACGAAAATACCCTCGTTTGTTTGATTTGATTAGATTCATGGCTGGTATGTGCTATGGAGTGAATATGGGGGAGACGGAGACCTCCGCCCCGGTTGAGCCGAGTTCGAGATCCGCCAGGCGGCGGAGGATGGAAATCCACCAGTTCAATTTTGTGCCCACCGATTCATCGGTGGCGCCGCCGCCGTTGGAAGGCGGCGGCGGCGGGAGAAGGAAGAGGCAGAGGATTCTTCCTGCCGTTGTTCCGGTTTTGTCTCCGATGGAGTGCATGAACGGAGTTCAGAATTGCCAAGTCGTCCAGCAGAAGGAGAATCAGGTGGCCGGCGAGTTACCGCCGGCGACCAAGGCGTTGGATCTGTCTGCGTCGCCGTCGTGTTCGGCGAATGAAAACGGCGGGAATCCCGACTGTCCGAAGTTTGGAATGACCTCTGTTTGTGGAAGGAGGAGAGATATGGAAGATTCCGTCGCGATTCACCCTTCATTCTGCCGGCCGGACAGTAATTCGACGGCGGGGTTGCATTTCTTCGGAGTTTACGACGGCCATGGCTGCTCACATGTAAGCAACTAATATCTTAATTCTCCGACACAAATCATTCATTCTTACATTTTTTTTCATTCTTAAAAATCGAGATGTAATAACCGGATTTATTTTCAGGTGGCGAGTAGGTGCAGAGATAGAATGCACGAGATAGTGAAACACGAGTTCGAGAACGGCGGCTCGCCGTCGTGGGAGCGGACCATGTCGGAGAGTTTCTCGAAGATGGATAAAGAAGTTGGCGAGTATTGCAACGGCGGCGCCGCCGTCTTCATCTCCGGTTGCCGCTGCGAGCTACAGACCCCACAGTGCGACGCCGTCGGATCCACCGCCGTGGTTGCCGTCGTCACCCCCGAGAAGATCGTCGTTTCCAACTGCGGCGACTCTCGCGCCGTTCTCTGCCGCAACGGAGTCGCGATTCCGTTATCCGTGGACCATAAACCGGACCGGCCCGACGAGCTGAACCGGATCCAAGAAGCCGGCGGCCGGGTCATCTTTTGGGACGGTCCAAGAGTTCTTGGCGTCCTAGCCATGTCTCGAGCAATCGGTAAATCCTCAATTTTAATTTATTTATTTTTAATTATATTCGATAATTATTAATCAAATTCTAATTTTATTTTAATTATATTCGGTGATTAGTAATCAAATCATTTAATTTTCAGGAGATAATTATTTGAAACCGTACGTGATACCGGAGCCGGAGGTGACAATCACGGAGCGTACGGCGGAAGACGAGTGCATAATTCTGGCGAGCGACGGGCTTTGGGATGTTGTATCGAACGAAACCGCTTGTGGGGTGGCGCGTATGTGCCTACAGTCGAGGAAACCGCCGTCACCGCCGAGATCGCCGGGAAATGACATCACCGTGACGGAAGCCGGTGAGAGCTCCGACAAGGCTTGCTCCGATGCGTCAATCCTGTTGACCAAATTGGCCTTGGCTCGTCACAGCACCGATAACGTCAGCGTTGTGGTGGTGGATTTAAGGAGAATCTAATAGAATAAAACAAGCGGAAATTTTTCTTTTTTATTATTTTATTTATTTATTTTCCTCTTTAATCCTTTTTTGGGATTTTTTTTTTATTTTAATTTAGTGCGCATATATTCAGTTGTTTTAGTATTTTGTATGTACATAGTTTTTAATCCTGGAATTGGTATTTATATTGTGTTTATTTTCTTCAAATTTTTCATCATGTTGTCATTTGAAACATAAGAAATTTTGAAATAATCTGAGTAAACAAGAAACAGAGAATTTATTTTAATATACCAATACCAAATATAATATTGTAATTTGTGGAGTATTCTATAAGCAATTGATATGGAAGATAGTAAATTAAATAATAGGTTTTGAATATTAAGAAAAAGCGCAAATGGCTGGCAAATTCTGGAAATGAAATTCTATAGCTGATGAAATACACAAACACTAATGTGTTTTTGTAAAATGGTCATACTTTAGGGGTGGTTGTAATTTACCCTAAATTATATAGTTTTAACTTACAGACCTACACAAATAACTTTCTATTAAGTACATATGCACATGAGTGTGTGTTATTATGTATGAATTAATAGTGTAAAATTACATGGTATATTTCATTAGGTGTAGGTTTTACAAAATTGTAAACTGCCGAGGTAAGTTTAAATTACGAAAACAAATTCTATCTATTTGGATAATTATAATCTTTATCTTCAACTATATATTGTGTTATGAAAAAACTACTTTCTTCAGTAGGGAAATTTCAGTAGGGAAATTGACTCGTAAAAGTGAATATGTGATACAATACAAAGTTCAGAAATTATTATAATGATCCAAACATAATAAATTTTTTCGTAATTTAAGCATACTTCAAAGGTAACCGTAATTCGCCAATAAAAAACGAGAGGATAGAACTAAATCTAACACATCAAATGAAGCCATCTCAAGTCTTACAATCCTAGTCTTATAATGACACGATTATAGTCAAACAATATACCTTTAAAATTAAACTATATAGTACTAATATTAAACATCAAATTAAAAAAAAGAATGATATTAAACTAGTGTAGTTGTGCGCCACGTGGTTTATATTATTGTCTTAATTAAGGTTTGGTTTCCTATATATAAACCCAAATTAAGACACGATCAAAGCTGGATTATAGGAATAATCAATATTAGTTGCGAGGGTTAGTACAGTTAGCCTAACCTTTAGTTAAGCAAGGAGCTAATTATTCTGGCCACATCACAGCTTGTCAACACATTATTTACTTCGAGAAATAAAATAAACAAAATAAAAAATTAATGGGACCCACGAATACAAATGAAGATTGTCTCTAAAGTTATTAGCCTAACTACCTAAGTGGGGCCACGCTAATTTTGTTTAGTGTGACGAGAACTAATTTTTTTTTTCTTTTAATAAATAAATAATGAAAAAAAAGAAAGAAAAAACAAGCATAAAACCGGACAACCAAGCTACGGGCGTATCAGCGTATGTGTTGAACCGGGTTTTTGTCGTGTACCCACCGGTCTTGTCTTTTAAAAATTTATGTATTGTGAAAGTTAAATATAATTAGTTAATGATATATTTCAATCATCCACTTCATACTACTTTTATAAATTTTTAGAATATTGTATTTCAAATTCGAGATTATTTTGTTTGTAGATACACAAGCAATATATTTTGAAGTTACGGAATATTAAACGTCTCACTTAGCGTTAATGGGGTCTAGCAGGTCTAACGAATAAGATCGAAATTTTATATATTTTTCAGGAATAACGAATCTCAGATTCAGACAAATGCACCCCGAAACTAATATAATGTCATCCCTTGTTGCAAGGTCTCAAGAAACACAATTAATTACTAATTGTGTTCTAAAAAATATTTTAATTAGGAGGGGAAAGGGTGTTTGCATTTAGTTGAGCTAATGAAATAATTATCTAATAAAATAGATAATTAGTACTCCTAAAGTTTATAATCATAATAATAAATAAATAAATAAAATGTCAAAGGTGGTTGATTGGAGGGAGTTGACAAAGGATACGTGGAAGATATTTGAGGGTTCCACTTTGATTCTGAGTCCCTTTTTCCTTTACCAGACTGCGACAAACTCCATTATTAATAAATTAATTAATTATACACTAAACCCCAAAATAATCAAAATTCACCAACATAGCCCCATTAGAGGCGCCCACATCTTAATTTTCGTGGTCCTTCACCTGATTCTTAAATCCTAAATTGAATTGAGATTTATTTATTTTTAATTTACAAATTGTATATTGTGACGAATACACATTTTAAGAAACAAATAGTCAAATAGAGGGAAGAATATATTTGAGATTAAAGAGGAAGCGCGTATTGAGAAATTTTTTGTTTAAAATTAAAGGAAATTTCTATATATATTTTAGGGCAAAGTTCACTTTGCGCCCCTTTATTATTGGCTATCTTGCATGCACAGGCCTTAATTATATGGGGTCATTAGCAATACACCCCTCCTATAGATAAAAAATGGTGATATGTCCATACCATAATTCTTTCTTTGTGAAAACCCCCTAAAATATTTATTTCCAATTTTACCCTTTACTACTTATCACGTTTTTTTTTTGATAATTATCTAGTATTTACAAATTCCTATTAATGAGGCACCTAAATCTCGCTAATTAGGATTAATTAGTATAATTATCTCAATTATTCCTTTTTTCTCTCTTTCCATAACAACTTTTTAATTCCTAAAAATCTGCAAATTCCTAAAAGATTGCTACCAAATAACAAAAAAACTATTTTCGAACTTTATTTTTTTATTTTTTATTTTTATATTATTTTGGGACTTTATTTAGCCTTTTTTTATATTTATTTTCATTTTGAATATTTTTTAATAAAAATATATTTTTTTAATTTTTTTTAAACAAAAAATTGAAATTTTTCTCTCCACAGGTTTGCAAGGCCGAATATGACTATAGTTGAATATGACTATATGTGACTATTTTAACTATAGTCTTATTCTTTCTTTCTTTCTTTTTTTTTTTTTTTTTTTTTTTGCATTATGAACTTTAAAATTCCGATTATATGGCATAGTCATGTTTACCAAATCATATAAAACAACGAAGATTCCCTATTGTTTATGAAAACAATCCAATCAACATCCACACAAAAAGTCACAATTTGAATCTACTAACTCGAAGTCAACTTGAAAACGAGAAGATAGAACATATTCAACAATAGTCATGTTCGAAAAATACATAAATATGACTATAGTCATATTCGGATATGACTATAGTCATGTTACTGCTACTGTTCAGATCTGAGAAAAAAATCGAAAAATACATGAATAAAGATAGAGAAATAACTAGAGAGAGGGATGGGAGTCGACGACAACGGTAGTGTAAAGAGAGAGAAATCGAGAGAGACAACGAACACGAGAAAATTAATAAATCACTAATCGAGTGAATCAGCAATAGTCATATTCGAACCAGACTATAGTCACGTTAATGCTTATGCTTCAGATCTGGAGAGCAAAAAAAACAAAAAAATCGAAAATAACGAAAGGGAAGGAGGTGGAGGCGACGACAACGACGGTGAATGAAAGAGAGAGTGGGGAACAAACAAGAAATTCATAAAATCACTAATCGAGTGAATCAACAATAGTCATATTAATTATTAACAGAACAGTAAGAATATGACTATTATGTGACTACTCTGTAAATCGAGATAAAATGAAATTAGATACAACTCGACGACACAAACTCATACATTTTGCTCTGAACAATTTCTGATCTTTGGCTAGGTAGGAATATTCACCTGTCAAACACATCCAACATCCAATTTAAAGGTCAAATTCATCACTTGGTTTTTAATGTAATACTAATCAGCAATTAATTAATGCCCCACAAATCTTCTTATAATATTGTCAACTTATTTTTAATTTAGCACCAGACGAAATAATTACAATATGAGATCATTAGAAATTGTGCAGAGCATACGAATACGACCAATCTCTGCTCATTAAGAAAAACAATTCCGACTATTTGTAAAACGTAATAAATTTTTCAATGACTAACGATCCTTTACACCAATTAAGATGACCCAAAAAGAAACAATAAAAAATCGGTTCTACATACACACACTACAACCCAGCCCCATTTACGAAACCAACAAAATTAAAGCAAAACCTCTGACCTTCAAACACATTTTTACTCCGGCAACGAACACAAAAGGGTTGAACGGCGACGGAATCTCTATTCTCACCTAATCTCGGCTGAACTCACGTCTGTATATCAAGGAGAAATGGAGAATCACGTCCGCCTATAATAAAGGGAAACGGTTATGGAAAGATATCGTGATTAAATATTTGATTTATTATAAAAAACTGTTAATAAGGGTACTTATGTCTTATTATGTTTAATTGAGGGGGTTTCACTAATTAAGTTTGGGATGTGGGTTTGTGCAAAAGTCTTAAAAGTCAATTGGGTTTTACTCATAATATTTTCCATTTGAGGGGGGGATTGCATATTTCCCCTAATTATAATCAAGGTTGTGAAAGGCGGGAATCGGACCCAAGTCGATTAGGCACCGCTTCACAATTACTCAGGTACGGCGAAATTAGAATAAATCATTCTTTTAAATTTTATGTAATATAATTTTAGATATTATTTGTAAATACTTAAAATATATATAAAAATATATTAAACATGTTTTTAGCCCCATCATCTATATATCATAATCACATAATAAAATTTTAATATTAATAAATAAGATCATAATATAATAAAAATCCTTACAAAATAAAATTAATACAAAAATCTTGTGCATTCAAAATTAAATATCATTAGGTCATTTAAAATAAAAATTAACATTAGAAAATAATACAAAGCATAAACTCATTTCTAATTAAAATCTCAAACTTTTTTTTAATTTAAAAAAAAATAATTTTTACCACCTAAGTTTGACCCGCCCCCAAGGTTTGACTGCCTATGACCTCCTAAAACCGCCTCACAGACAAAATCCGATTTTTCAAAAATTTATACTAAAATCCGAGATGTTTTAGATCGTCTCTGCCTCGGAGATCAATTAATCGGCCGCCTCAACCGATTTTAAAACACTGATTATAATACGTATTTAATACCCCCTATACTTTTTGGTTAAATACCTCTTAATTTTTTCTTGAAGTTTACAATCTTACTCCACTTTTAGTCCATGAAAAATATATGTGAATTTTAGTACTTAGAAATACGAGAAAATATTTTGGATGTTTCGTAATTGAAGGGTGTGTTTGTACGTTGTTTCATAATTTAGGGGCGCAAAGTGAACTTTGCGCCATTTTCTATAATATTTATAAATAAATATTAAAAAAAATAAAGAAAACGATTTATGTAATAAATTATCTTTAATTCGTATGCATAAAAGAGGGAGCACTAATTTAAGTCAGAATTCATGCATCAATTGTAGGGCACGCAATAAAATACAATTGTTTCCATAAGGAAGTAATGGGAATTCGACACGTGTTGTTTGTAAGAACACCACATTAGAAAGCTTAGTGGACATTCCTCATTTGACACGTGTCATATTCTTGATTTAGATAGATTGCCACTGATTCTTAGGTGTTGAAATTAAAAAGAACAAAATAAATAAATTTTAGTGTCTGATTCACCAAATTCAATTTATGGGAGAGGTGAAATGAACCTGATTTTAATATTATTGTCACTGTTGCCTCTTCGCCTCGAAAATATTATATTTTATTAAATAAGGATCAAATCGTAGGTTTTAAATTCATTCCTTTATTCTTGAAAAGTCTCTTTAAATAAATATATATATTCTTGAAAAGTTACCTTGAAATAAATATACAAATCCTATTATATTTTTTTTTATTATTATATAAGGATCAAATTATTGGTTTAAATCCATTCCCTCTATTCTTTATTTTATTTTATTTTATTTTTAACTAACAATGATTTATTTCAACGAGCACAAAAATCCCAAGACTACGTGTCAGGAATTTGTAGCTGTGGTTGTGGTCAATATTATGTCAACGTTATCTTAATCATAATTAGGGAGAACATAATATGAAATATTCTTAGTTAATCAACTAAAATCTTAGATATTTTGAAGCATATTTCACAAAATAAGCAAATTGAAGCCAAAATTTTAAAAAAAATCCGATTCTGATTCGAAAATTTCAATTTTTGCAAAAAAAAAAAAAAAAAGAAAAGAACTTCATTGGTATTTCTGGATTTTTATGGTATAGTAATTAGAATATACATAGATTTGAGATGTGATTCGATTTTAAAAATTCAATTACCTCCTAAAATTACATTTATAATATTAATATCGTTGTGCCTTTATTCAATTGATATTATTTTATCGCCCCATATTATCCGCCAAATACCAACAAAATAAAAATGTAATTTATATTATTTAATTGTAAACAATAAACGATCTATACCATATGCATCATGTAATTGCAAACAACAAACTAAAACGTAGATTTGGTCTTGGGCCGGACCATCAGAACTAAGCTTATTGAGCCAAAAATCCAATGAACGACAAAAACCAAGGCGAGCCAAATGTTCGCCGGTAAAAAACTCAAATATTATAGAGCTCGCAGACATATAGCTCGCATGGGTAAAGTCCACCGCTATGTCTTGGATCGCATAAAAAAAGTAGCAGGAAGTGGTATGACGCGAGCGAGAGCCGTTAGAAGCAGAAGACTCGGAAATACTATTCCTAAATAGATAAGGAAAATATATAAATTAGTATTATTAATGGAACAATCAATATAAATCTCGGCCTAATTAAGGTGGATTAAAATAGGAAGCAATTAGAAAAAAAATTCGATATAAAGTTTTGTAATAAGTCCGATTAAGGACACAATTTAACATCAATAAGGACACTTTAAACTCTCTTTCATATATACTTATTATTGTCCGTTCATCTTCACCACAGCTAGTCTAAGATCCGACGTCCGATGTACTCTCCTAAGGTCTAAAAGGAGCAGGATTTAGAGTGAAGTCCTGAGTGTTGATTTTATACCATCAAGGGCATTTTTTTTTACGTCTCGAGATCCGATATATTAACTAAGTTTTCATTAAATTATCTTATTCTTAACTAATTCCGTCTTAGTAACCAAACGAAGCCTTGAAAACAAATTTGTAGAAGTGATTCAAACTAATATATGGTCCAAACAGCCCAATACCTGTGAGGCCCACTAAGAAGAGCCGCTCAGAGGCCCACCAAGACATCAATCCCGAGGGAGAGAATGGAGAAGGAAGTTTCTCCCTCGGGCTTAGGATCCCAGCTACTAGGAGCTGCAAGAAGGCTTCCCGAGTGTTGGAACCGCGCTCGGGTTATATATAGGGAAGTTCTGCTATAGACTGGAGGCTGGGGTACGTACGGAAGAACGCCTTTAATGCATCTGACAAGCACCCATGACGCCCCCAACGGCGCATTAAATGCCGTGACAGGGGCATTTAATGCTCGAATAACCAGACGCAGCCGAGGAGCAGAATGGACTGCTCGGCCGGGATTCACGGAGTAAAGGAAGCATACCCCAAGCATTATAAAAGAAGAACTCATCAAACCAAACACGGATTACATACAAACTTATCATTCTTACTTATCTTCAACACTAATAGAATCCTCTATAAAAATCCTATCTGTTCTTTAGTGACTTGATCGGCAGAGTGCTAACTCCAGCATTAGTCCCGTCACTTATTTTTGTAGGTATTCACCATCCCTCTAAAGAGGCCCATATACAGGATAAGGTTCTTTCGGGTGGATGATGAAGTAAAAGGAATATCGGAGCAGAAGTATACATGTAGATATATGTGTTCAACCTGCTTCTTCGCACATTTGGTGTATTTATTACTGCCCCACAAAAGTGTCACGTTTTATTTAGGGTCCGTTTGGCCTAACTTATTTTAAATAGCTGATAAACTCGTATGTTTGATAAGATATTTTAAGGGTTGATAAGTTGCTTCATCTTATTTTTAGAATTAATATTTAAAGTGTTTGGATAATGAACTTATTTTCTATTTTTATTCATTATAAGATATTAAATAAAAATGTGGGAGATCTCATTTACTCTCCAACAACTTATTTAAAAAAAATAAGAGCTTCTACAAAAAATTTACCAAAAACTTTGAAAGAGCTTATAAGCTCTAAAATATCTTATACACTATTTTTTACATTTTATAAGCTTAGTCAAACACCCTCTTAATCTTAGAGGGTGTTTGACTAAGCTTATAAGATGTTAAAAGAAGCTTATAAGCTCTTAGAAAGCGTTTGGTAAAATAAAATAAAAACTTATTTTTTCAAAAAACAAGCTGTTGGAGAGTAAATAAGATCTTTAAAAAAAAAATATTTATACCCCCATTTTTATTAAAAATATTATAATGAGTAAAAATAGAAATGAACTCATTATCTAAACATTCTAAAAATTAATCAGCTTATCAGCTATAAAAACATTTTATCAGACGTAAAAACTTATGAATTGTTTAAAATAAGTTTAGCCAAACACCATCTTAATCTTAGTATTGAAGATTGCAAATGAATAATCTTCTTAATTATTTTAAATAATGATTGAATAAGAATTTTGGGTTATAGTCAAATCGCAATTATATAATGGAATTCACACGTGGAGCAATATTATGAGGCTGGGCTATGGTATATTTCTTTAAAAATAAGTAAAGTTCAATCAAATGGAGGATCATTTAATAATCTTTTTTCAATAAATATAAAAAGAATCTATGGAGCAGTGTTTCTTTTGTTTCATTACTTGCTGCAATGAGACGTGTCATCATTTGGTTACACGAATAAAATACCAGATTAGATATATGAATATTTTATTATTTTATAATTGGATTATTATATAGAATGTTCTAAATTTATGGGATGCATGAACCTAGAAACTTTTGACTAAGACTTATGTATTTCTTTAGTTCATAACTAAATAATTAGATTCATTTTATAATGGAATGGTTAATAAAATAAAAAATTGATAAGTTGTTGTATGTCACACAAAAGTTTGTGTTGAAAAGAGAAGTACAATATTAATAAATTAGTGGTACCTTATACAATATTAATAAGGTCATTTTACATCATAGACTGGTCGGTTGGTCACTGATGACGAGATTATAGTAAAAAGTAAGATTACGGATGTTTCATGTTAAAACATTATTCAACCCCTTTCGGTCTCAAAATAAATAATAAAAAAACATATATATTAGTACCAAATGCACTAGTATTTTCTCCCTGTGCCGTGCACGGGATCGCATTTTGAAAGTAAAAAAAAGAAATTATTTAAATGCATGGCAATAACTGTTATAATAAGAAAATATACATTACACTATTATAATAAAATTTATCAGTGATATTTAAAGTACTGTAGTGATACAAATATGATAAAACAAACTCATTCCTCAAAAGATTATACAAAATTAATTCTCATAAAATGAAATTGATCGTTAAAGAAATGAAGCAATTAATAAGGTAAAAATTTAGAGAAAAATAAATAAAAAAGAAACGTATATATAAATATGATTAGAGATGTATGGTTGAAAATGAAAAGATTTGGTTTGAATTTTGAACGTTTTATAATTGTAAAATTAGTAGAGAAAATTAAAAAAAAATATTACAAAAATGTCATTAGGTTTACTTAGATTGGCCTACCGTTTCTTTCTTTTATATATAAGTTTTCAAGCACAACACTGGGCCAATTCTAGGTAACTTTCATAGATTGTATTTACTATCCATTCATACCATTTGTAAAGTATTTTTTTTTTTCATACTACAATTGAAAAAATGTATACAACCTCAATTTAAGAAACCAATTCAAGTTTTAAATGAATGAATTATCTTTGCATAAATCCCATTTGCATTTTAGAAAATATAAGTTACAAAAAACTTGCACAAACTCCTCTTTGTGGTTAACGGTGTTTATTAGTAACGGAATATGAGATTTCATGCAAGATAAAAATCAAACGCACGGGAATTTTAATAAATAATATTAAAAGAAGTCTGTCAAATTTAAAAATCACCAAACATGTTCAGGGCTTTTACCTTTCATATGTTACAATATCGACTATTTCACCCATCTTCCAGAAATCAAATCATCTTCTTCCATTTTTCACCGTAAAGAAAACAAATCTTTCGATCTAGTAACTTATCTACACTGAAGAAACAAATGTCGCCCACAAAATACCTGTTAATTTTTTCTAACACCTCAGATTAGTCACTCAGCATGTACAAAGCGCGAAGAATACCTCTCGTCAAATCAATCATCGGTTTCATGCCCGGAGAAGGCGCTTATCGCATGTCAAGATCCTATAGCTGGCATGAGGTCCTTCAGATGTGTCCCTCAAAGAAACATGCCACCCCAGTGCTGTACCAGTTTCTTGAAGCTCGTCCATTATAGCTAGAGTGTCGCGTATATATACATGTCCACCTGGCCTCAACATTCGATCCATCTCCAACATTATTGTAGAGATATTGCACCTGGAATTTTATTTGTATAATAGTTTGTCAAATGTCGAATTCCTGTTACACGGATTAATGTGTAGTTCATAACGTTTTGGGGGAAGTTTTTCCACCTCATGTATTTTCTAACGAATTTTAAAGATTATGATTTGACTTCGAGAACCTGTTGTGAGTTTCTAATATGAATAGTACGAATTTCTCAGACGGATTTTTTTTTTGCATATACTATTTGAAGGCAGAAAGAGGGGAAATACCTTTTTCGTTCGACTGAGAAAAGTCCAGCAGCGTGAATTAAGTCATAGGTCCTAGGGTATGTATCAAACGGCTCGCACCTGAAAAGTTTCACGCATTTCATTATCGAAATTTTTACTTGGATTTTATTTCCTCAACTATAAATAAATCTATAAAAAATAAAAACGCTAACCCGTAGCCACATAATTTAGTAATATTATGGCATGGGAATTGACCGTTAATTATGGTTATAGTAATTTAAAAAGGAAAATCATCATCCAAATTTATACCAGTCGTGGGCAACTCCTATAAGACCACGGTCATATATGACAGGCAATGTATTGGGCCCACTAACAGGAACAACATTCAGCACCCAGCAATCCAACGAGTTTTCAATCAGCGCTGCTGCAAAACTGCAGTCAAGGAACAACTAATTAGTTTGTCTAGAAACAATGAGTGATACTTATATTCTACTTGCTAAATAGAAAACAGTGGAACAAATTTTTGATATAAAACACGGATGTCACAGAACTTACCCGCCAAAGCCTGCTTTCATGTCCAATACGTTTCTAAGTTTGAACTTACTCCAATGTAATGCCCGTACATAGCCCTCGATTATTTCTTTCCAGTATCTTGATTCTGCCCTGAAAAGCTCTTTCCTTGATATGTAGGCGTCGATTTGTATGCTCTGAAGCCTATCCGGAGGATTCTGCAGGCGTTCTGGCCAGGCTGTAACGTTTGACCCATATCCTTCCTCGGGCAGACGTGCTATACATGCCTTCATATCGACATACCTAAACATGATTTTGGAGACAGAAAATTAAAAAAAAAATCAAGAAAATACTCTTTTAATGAAATGTCTAGATAACGAGAGATTACTATTGACCATATAAAGCAATGAAATCAGGTCGTTTTTTTTTTTCCCACAAATATTTTAATTGTTAATAGTTGCAGTGATACTCAAATGAAACCACTCTTTCAAAATTTCTTCTGCTCCCCATCCTTAAATTTAAAGGCTCTCTGACTGCACAAAGGTAATATAAAAGGCAATACTTCTCATCAATGGACCGTCATTTCATGATGAAAACCATGTCCGAGTGTCGTTTTTCTGTAACTTGTTCTCAGTGAGATTCGCATATCCAGTGCTACAATTAGCATAAGAGTTTTATTCAGCTAATCTTATGACTATTTGAAACACAGCAAGAATCATACGCATATACCATTGACTTGGTCAATCAGCCAATTATATCATTTTCACACTTATATGCTAATTGGTAAGAAAAGCATCATAATGCAGCACGAAGATGAAATCCAAGACATCATCAATACATCAAAATGCAAATGTCCACTCACTGCATCTATCACACAAAGTAAAACTGAAACTATAAAACTGCAATGTATGCATACCAAACATTATCTGGATCATCATCAGGTTCACATAAAGGTGGTTGGGTCCCTTCCTCACGGCTAAAATAGCAGCTGTTGTTAGAGGGCTTCTGCCAAATTGCAATGTACCCCTCTTTCTTCACAAGTGTCCAACAAAGCCGACTAGTAAGGTTGACCATTTCTGGAAGCAACACATTATAAAAATCAATAAAATAAAAGATTACTAATTCATGTTTGAGTGGGAGGGAACACTATTTCATGCAAATGCACTCTTGTTTGAAGTGTGTCCCTCCAGCAGTCAGTATGATAACTTCAATATATTGCATAAGACTCATAAAGACTGACAAAAAATGAGGAAAGTTACAATGTCAAAGGAAAAAATGGAACATTAATTTCGATTCACAGATGATAAATTAAAAGACCAGGATTTATCAAACTCTACTGAAAACAAGTTCCCAATAATTTGATACTCGGTTTATAGCAAGACACAATTTTCAAGTAATTTTACCTTCCCATTGTTCTTCAAGGGCAGCTTCATGTTTATAAACAGGCTGTGCTGCCCAAGCAAAATATCCTCCTGCCCGGAGCATTCTGTTGACCTCGAGTAGCAAAATTCCATCTATTCAACAATACATGAGAAGACCACATAAGCATTAGTTTAACATAGGTGAGTTATCCATGAAAGTTTTTCTAACATTCTCGGACCGATTCAAGAATAGGAAACATTTTAAAATAGCAAAATTAACTAAAAAGTCTGATGTGCCACAAGGGCATTGCCCGAGTGGTATCAGGGTGGGGAGGGTAGTTGTTAGGTCAAGGGTTCTATTTTCTTTGGGTTCGGTCGTAGGCCAATTTTTTTATATAAAAAAAAAAGTCAAGGGTTCAAGAGCTAAATTTTATGTTTCAGCACCAAATGGCAACATAACAGCAGTGCACGTGCATTGTGTAGCATGTTAAACAAATTAACAGACAGATATCTCCGTCAATAAATGAAGCAGGTTTTTGAAATATTTACTTTTGAAATTTCTTGAAAGGTAACAGTAAAAGTGTTTTAGAAGTGCAGTAAGAGATAAATACTACAAATGATTCAGGCACAAACTTCGTACCATAACCATAAGAAGTCTGTAATCTTGCAAATGAATTACAAAGCCATCGCATTAATTCTTTTCATAAAATATTAACTGAGATTTAGTCAACTAGTTCATCACATGAACTAATCTTTCTACTCTTCATGAATTTGATTTTGACAACCAAAAAAAAAAACACCATTTTTTATCACTATGGTTATTTGAACTTGCTAAAAGAAATTGAGTCGACAAGCCATCAAAAAACTACTTTAACAGAGAAAGAATGTGACATAAAATCATACCATCTCGAGTCCAGTTGATTCTACACCTTGAACAATGTATCAGATCAAATGCTTGACTTGGATAAAGTAAACGCTTCGTGGCAAATGCTGCTACCATTGCAGGCACACCACGCTCAAGTGCAAATTGGATCTGGTTCTCATGAACATCTTTCGGGGCTACAGAAAGGGTGATGACATTCCGCGACAGTAAATAAGCACCAAAACTGGCAACGCCACAACCAATATCCAGAGCAACTCGCGTATGTCGGCCAAACGCAATTTCAGGGAGCATCTAGAAAGATATATAGGAAAAAGAAAATTTCAAAAAGCCATTATATTTTTTGTTATAGGTCAATGCCCATTTCATGGATAACATTTGGTGGCTATATAATTTATATAATAACAGCACACCTGTTCAATCTGATCCAAATACTTATCGGCCCCGTGAATGAACTGTGTTCCACCTCCAGGGAACTTGAACTTGTCCTTGTCAATGGTGATCCAATTCTGACCTCCTTTATCCTCCGCCAGACGAGCATGAGGTACATTGCTAAACCATACCTGTATAGAATTAAATAAGTACAGATCTTCCATAAAATGCTAACGATTATTGTTCTCGTCAAATTCTCTAGCAATTTGATTCAGATTAAAATTGAAACCTTTTATTTTAGATTTGAATTAAACTCCAATCCATAGTTTGATTAGGTAATCCTTCAAAAGATGATGACCAATTCACCTCCCACACAAAATAAAATCCAATTTACCGAAAAGTAATAGAACCAAATCCACAATCTTGTATCTATAGAAGACAATTTACCTCATCGCGACTTCTAGGCCAGGGAATCGGTGTTTTGTAACCTTTAGGAGCAGGGATCAAACAATTCAAACCCTTCCCAATTTCAGGACAATGCCGCTCGAATTTCTCTCCTTTCTCGGTCGAATTCAAGTTCTTAATCGCCTCCTCGTTGTCCAAACACGGTATATACTCCCTCATGCTCTCCGGGCACAATCGAAACTTCTTAACCCTAACCCTGGCATTATCCCCCTTCCCATCACTCTCCAAACCCTCACTCTCGTTCGATTTCGACCAATTCTCCACCAATTCAGGATCAAACTCCCCCACCTCAAAATCATCCGTCATCCTCCCGTTCTCGTCCACCACCCCCATTCTCTGCAACGCCGGCGGAGGTGGCGGCGGGGGTGGAGTCGGAGGCGGAGGATTTAGGGCTTCTTCCGTTTCACCCCGTATATCCTGTTGCGGCGGGGGTGAGGCGGTGTCATTTACGAGGGAAGAGATATCGAAGGTTTTATTAAGATTGGGAGAGAGAGCGACGGTGGCCGACGAAGGTGGAGATTCCGAGTTCTGTTGAGTGGAGAAGAACACGAGTTGCTGAGAGGAGCCATCGGAGAAATGCTTGCCTAAGTAGAAGAAAACGACGGAAATAAGTAGGAATCCCGTGATTTTAACGAGGGTGGCGGATTTGCAGAGATCGGAAGCTCCTCCGCCGCTGCCAATCCCCTTCATCGCGAGCAGATTCACAGATCTAAACTGTGTGTAGTGTGTGTGTGTGTGTTAGTGTTACAGTGGATTTAATTAAAGATACTAAATAAAATGTGAATGATTTTTTATTTATATATATATGGGTTGGGAACGAAAGAGAAATATAGAGAGAGAAAGAAGAGAGAGAGAGAGAGAGATGGGAAAAGGGTCAAAAAGAAAGAGTGAAAATGGAGTGAAGTAACTTAAACGACGTTGTTCTGTTTGGCTCGCGGGGTTCGGTGACCGAGGGAGGGAATAAAGCGTGTGAATTACTGAATGTTAACACGTGCGTTGCCTGCTAATTTTATTACATGTTCGTTGTGATGTTTAAATCTGTTTTTTTTTTTTATAATTAAAATAAGTAAATAAATGTTATTGTTTGGATTTTATAATTTTGTTTTTAGAATATTTAGAGAAGTCTATTAATTGGATTTCAATTTTAAATTACAAAATTTCAGAAAATTAATTTGACAAGTAATTTGGTGTGTTCTAGATTGATTCATAAAACTAAGTTCAATTTTTTCGCGATTCTTAACATTAAATTTTGCATGCAAATGGAATCTAAATAAATTACCGGAGGACGATTTGTGATTTTTCGAGAAAACGTTGACTCAGAAAATTAGTAAAGTAAATTTGATTTCACGCTGCATCTAATAAATACATCGAATGAATATTATCATAATTCTTTCCAATATAAAATTTCACTTATTCATATTAGTGTGTAGATATAAATGATAGAAGTTTGACCAATATACAATTCAATGAATATAATTAGGGTTGGCTATCGGGCCATGTGAGTGGAGTTTGAGTTGACTCAAACTCATATACTACCGGACCTTATTATTATTGGCTCAAGCTCATATACCATCGAACCTCGTTATTATAGACTCATGTTCGGCTCGTTTATTTTGTTGGGACCAATATATTCATAAAAATTTGTAAGATGAGAAATGTGATATATCAATTATCATATATGCATATGCATTGTTTGTTTTTGTGAATGAAAAGGATATGGGCAGTTGTTTTGAGGACAAAAGCTTTTTTCTTTTTTCCCTCAAATGGAGGAGGGCACTTTTTTCTTCCTACTTTGACGCCTCTCTATGGTTGAATTGCATTTTGCACCTCATGAGTGACCTATATTGACACTTTGCACCCTAAAATTTAAATATTGGCAATGTTCACCCTCCAATTATATCTCAGGCAAAATGGTTTCTTGTGAGATTTTAACTAAAATATTTCCAATCTATCGCGATATTTTGATTTTTAAAGGGATTTTCTTTCTTTGTGGTATTTTTAGAAAATGAAATTAATTATTATATAATACATAATACTAGTATCTCACCCGTGCGATGCACGGGGATCATTTCTATGATCAAAATGAATTAAATCAACGAATTAAAACATATTGATGATGTAAATCGAATACCTCTATTAATTCCTATATGAATTAAAAAGGATGTTAATTTTAATGTTAATGCTAATGCAAATACTAATATGCTTATGCTAATACTAAATATAATACTAAGGCTAGTATTGATACTAATATTACAATTTTAAGTTGAAATAATATTTAAAATGCATAATATATTCAAATTAATGATAGTATATTTAAGTAATTATTACATTACAATTTTATTTACATTTTTTTTCCATTTATACATTCATAGTACGCTGGAAAATATTTTTATGTTGAAATATTAAAATTAAAGATTTTATATAAAAAAAATAATAGAATGAATTATAGAAAATTTAAATGTAAAATAAATTATTCAATAAAAAGAAAGGTTTATTTCATATCACGTAATTGTATTTAATTAAAACTTGTTAGTCGTTTGAAAATCAATGTCATATAGAAAACTCGAATTAGATCAAATGGAACGAAATTGAACAACGCATTTATTCATTTGAATCTATCATATAATTAATTTTCAAAATACAAAATGTACATAACCGGAAAATTAGTATATTGTTTACAATTATTCAAATAAAAAAATAACTAAATTTACATAATAAATTACACAATCAAAAAGTAAACACGTTTATAGCAACATTTTGTATGTTACATTGTTAATTTAAAACAATAGATTGGTAGGATATAGCGTTCACCATCTTGTCCAGTTCTTGAAAAATCTTTTTGCATATTATACAAATAACATTGGTGAGGTTCTGCAAAAAAAAAAAAAAAAAAAGGAAATGAAATGAAACAAAATAAGAAAAATAAAGATTAACAACAAGATTAACATTTAAAAATAATGAAATAAATAATACCTGAAGAACAAAAACAAAAACATAAAATAAAATAATAGTTAGTTATTAACAATGCAAAAAGAAATGGATATTAAAAATTAAAAAACAACAATACATTAGAAAAAATTAGTACGACATAACGAAAAATAAAAGAAATAAAAAATAAATGTATAAAACGTAAAAAATAATATGAACGAAAAAATAAAATAAAGAAAAACATAATAACAACGAAATTCAATATGTAAGAAATTATGAAGAACAACTAAAGATTCAACCGAAATAAGGAACGACGGAATAAAAAACGAAAACAATGTAATATGGAAGGGGTTGTGAAAATGAATGAAAACAATGGAGTTCTTATGACTTATAGGGTTTAAGATGAGAAGAGTTTTTTAGATTTTGCTAAAATAGGAAATTATTTTATATGTGAAACTAATACAAAAATATAATTAGGAGTAATATGCTAAGAGCCCCTCAAATGAAACTTAATTTGAACTAAATAACAAGTTCAAATCCAATCTTTTAATTAAATCCTTAATTTAAAATAATATATGACATACATCCTTAATTAATTTTTTATCCCTAAATTACCCTTGTAACCTAAATATTTTAATCTACATGTTCATTCAGTTTTTTTAATTAAATTTATTTCTATTTTTTCTCCCCTCATTCTCTCTCTATCCCCTCCCTCTCCCGTCTCTTCCTTTCTCTCTTTTTCTCTCCCTCTCTCTCCATCGCTTTTTTTCTTTCTCTCCCTGTCTCTCATTTTTTTTTTCTATTTTTCTCTTTTTCTCTCCCTTTCTCTATCTCTCTGAACTAGGTTTTTGATTGGAGAAGCAAACGGGGTGGCGGCGGACGAGAAGGCGGCGGCGGAGTGGGCAGATCTGAATATTTAGGCGGCGGCTGTGGTTGCGGTGAATCTATGGTGAAGGCGCCGATGAAGTGGGTAGCGCTGGCGCGTCGGATCTATGGTGGAGGCGGTGGATCTGAAGCGGCAATGGAATGCGTAGCGGAGGCGGCTTCGAGGGTGACGCTGGCCCAACGACGGCGCTCGAAGTTCGAGAATGGTGTTGGTGGTGCGGTGATGCACGGATATGTGATGGCAGCGTGGGTGGGGTGGCCGGTGGTAACCTTAGAGGCGTGGATGGGGCGGGTGGCTTTCGGCGTCACGGATCTAGGGTTTGGTGGGTGGATCTAGGGTTTGGTGGGATGAATTCAAAAATTTTCGATTTGATGTCTATGGGTTACTATGGGTGTCTGACGGCTAGGGTTGAAAGGAGAAACTAGGGTTTCAAGAATATGCTATCATAGATGTCTATGGATTACTACAGGTTATTATGGATTACTATAGTTTCTTATAGTTTCCTATGGATGTCTATACATGACTGAGACCGATTTTTTTTTTTTAAATTCATAATTTTCAATATCACGTAGAAAATAATGGAAAAAAATAGATTCTTAAAATACTGAAAAAATACGAAAATGAATAAAAAAAAAGAGTAAATGTGTTGTACGTAAGAAAAAATAATAAAAAAATGTTCGATGCAAAATGAAAATGTTAAATGAATAATAAAAAATGATAAACGCAGTTTAAATGTTACTTGATGCAAATTTCATATTTTGTGTGTGGAGGGCATTTTTGGAATAAAATTTATGAAGGATGTGAAGCAAATGTTTAGTTAGACTTGTTATTTAGTTCTAATAAGTTTTGTTACCAGGGACCTATATCCTAAGACCCCATATAATTATTATGGACAAACATGGAATACATCAATTATTTTAAATAATTCGATATTCATGGAAAAAAGCTTGGCAATTTAAAGATGCTAATTTGAACTAAATTATGTAATCGTAAAAAGAAAGTAAAATCATATTAATTTATTTGAATTTTAATTAAAGAAGTAAATCAAGATAAATAAAGAAAAAAAGCAAATAAGTAGGTGTTAAATGTCATTGTTGATTATATCTTTTACATACCCAATCAATCAATTAAAACAAATCAATTTAGTTAGACATGATCCCAAAGTATATGCCATGAAATCCATGAAATCGTGTGATTGATATGCAATTTATGGAAATGAAAAACTTAAAATTTGGAATCACAATATAAATATATATATATATATATATATATATATATATATATATATATATATATATATATATATAACAAATTTTAATGTCATAGTTAACAATCGGGTAGTATAGATCCGAATAAATAAAAAATATAAATATTATTATAATTCATTTGATTAATTGACATATTACTAATTGGATTAATATAACACAGAATAATGCACTAATAAAATACTTTAATTTATATTTAAAAAAAGATATGAATGTAAATTTATAAAAGATTTTGTATGTTATTATAAAAGAGATAATAAATTCGATAATATTTATTTATAATATAAAAAAAATGAATATTGATACTACATTCGAAAAATATATTTAAAAAAAAATACAAAAATATAATATTTTTCAATTTTATAGGAAATTAAATGCATAAAATATTATATATACATGTGGTAATTATTAAATGATTGTGCAATAAGTAAATAGAAAATAACTCAACACCTACCAAAATAAAAGATAACTAAATAGAAATACGCAATTTCAAACTATTATATACAAAAAATATTGTATATTTATTAAAGAGTACAATTTAAAAATAAAACATTTTTTTTATAATTATTTTTAATTGAATGGATATTCAAATATTCCAAAATATTCAAAAAAAAAAATAAGTTGTTCCTTTATTTTAAAACTTGAATATTTAAAAAAAAATTCTGAAAATTATTTGAATATTCGTAAAAACGTAAAAACATTGACT